ATCACAGCCTTAAGTGATGTCGTATAAGGCTGTGATGTCACTTGAGACTACACGTTTGAAAGTGAAAATCTGAGGGTGTGGAGAAAGAAGTTAGCTTACCAGACCTCTGTGGACCATTCCACATCTCTGATTGAGGCTAGTGGGCGGTGGCTACATTAGCGGCTACTAGCATACCAGAATCTACCAGCAAACTCACAGTGGTCGAGTTGCATTGTGGGTAATGTAGGCACCAGGTTTTGATTTGTGGAATAAAAAGATGATATCTCTGGTTCTGCTGCATCAATCTCAATCGATTTTTAAAACAGTCTATCGTGAGTCTGATGATGACAAATTGGTCCTCAAGGATTTAATCAATGCCTTTCTCAGACCACCACCAAGCAAACTAACAATTAAAAAATGTATGCAACTCACATATGAAGCCTTTTTATTAATCCACCAATCGATGACATCTGACAAAAATGGTCTTGTTCCACTAGCAAAGGTCCAGCCAATCGAATCTAGTAAAGTATTTAGTCCAAAACATATTATTATATCAATAAATACCCACAGACTGCACTTGCATTATTTGCCGGCAGATGTTCTAATCTTCCACATGTTCTCCGTATAGGCGTTTTAGGCTAATTTCCCTGGAATGGTAAGATGTTAAGGAAATTCCTCTATAAATCTACAACTGATGATAAACACAACACAACTGACAAAACCCTAAAAACTGCCCTTAAAGTTGTTTTAATTTTTTCCTATAATTAGTACCAAATTACAGAGTTCTTTCCAAGAATCCTTCAATAAATGATTAAGCCATATGGAAACCATAAAACAAAGTGTCTCTTATACCTCTTCTTTCCTATTCTGCTTATCATCCCCCTCATCCTCTCATTTATTCAATCCTGTCTACTTTGTCTGTATAGAGGTTAAGGCCACTAAAACTACTTAGTCAAAGTAAGAGAATGATTTTTATTTTGTATAAAGATGAGATGGGGCTGCTTGACTCTGAATGCAAAGTATAGCTGTAGCTTAGTTAAGGATTGTTTCCATAGGCAGGATTGTGGGGAAGAAAGCAGCAGTGAGGTTGTAGCAAAAGAACAGAACAAATTGCGAGTGACAGGTCAAAGTAAAGAAAAATAAGAATTGCTAAGCTGAAAACAGAGGTGTTGTTGAAAGAAAAGTGTAAATTTCAAATATTGTGCTGAGGTGAGGGATCAACGTGTGCATGACTGACGGTTTACAGGAGGTGAAGATGGGGAGGAGATTAAGGAGGATTAAGAAAGAAGTGTTTAATGTACACCAAGCGTGTGACATGTTGGGGCCGACTTCCCTCTCCATGAATCGAGATGAAAGTGATGATCCATTGTTGATTTCAACCCATTCAATCCACTTTACTGGTTCAGAGGAAAACAAGATTAAAAAGAGGAGGAAGTTTATAAGGAGGATTCTCAGATCCGAAGGCAACAGGGCCGAGAGTTGGGGAGTAAAATGATTTTGTTAAAAGGTTGTTTTTTTTAGCAAATCATTGTATCCATAATGATTTTACTATTGAAGCTCTATCATAAGTTCAGTCGGGAAGACTATACTCAAAACTATACTTAAGATTATACTTTAAATTCTTAAGCTTCTGCCTTACCGGCGTCACTTGTCGCCAGCTCCTGATTGCAGCGGCTTGAATGAATGCAAATCGCATTAGGCCTCAATCATCAATCAAGGTTAAGACATAAATTAGCGTGTCCAACCTGGACCGTTTTCTCAATTGGATAAATATGGTCAGGCTGCTTAGTCAGTAGTTTTAGGCGCTGTCCAAGCCGTAACATGTTTCATTCTCCCTCACAACCTACAATCACTCATCCTGTACCACAAAAGCCCTCTACCGTAAAAGTAAAGTCCGTAAGCAGGATCACGCTGTCCTTATTCAAGCAAGTGCCCATGTCATTGCTGACTTCTTCACAAACCACCATAACCATGCTCAGTTGGCATAACGGCAACTCTCTTTCATGGTGCGCTGGTGTATTTCTTCTGAAGTTGTGACGATATGTCCATCCGTGGGCTTTTGAAGGATATCGCGGTCAGTGGTTCTCAGACTCCGGCCTCCGTCTACTCCAGATTTGATAAAATCTGCATCCACTGAAATTTTTATGTCCGGGGCCAGCAATGGACACAAAGGCCTCACTCTCATGCCTAAATAAGTCGTCAGCATCCCTCACACGAGTCATCATCGCAACCTTTCACGTGAATGGCGATGACAGTGCTTGCTCTGTAAATGTGCCTTGCTCAGATTCTATATACATATGCATACAACTGGTGGTGGAGTTTTTGCTTCACAGTTACTTCAAGCTCACTGTCCTCTCCGATAACCTCGACATTACATTCACGTCTTTCAGGTCACAATCTTTCAGATCATCGAAAGCTTTTTTAAAAAGTATTATATTCTATTATTTTTTGGCTAAGTACACATTACTAGCCGCTTTAGTGTGTGGCTGGTATTGTTTTCACGTGTGCGTCATCATGGAAAAAAGTTGTCTTGGAGGCAATTTATGTAGCAGAACTACCACAGAAGTGGGTTCGATTACTTTTCGTGTTGCTTGTCTGCCTGTTTGTCTGTGGTCGAATCTGTCACAGTAATAGAGTCACAAATCTTTTCAGGTGTAGAGTAGGATCACAAAAAAAAAAGATGAAAGCTGGAGTGCCCAGATGGCTCACATGATGGAGCACCCCGCAAACCAAGGCTGAGTCTTACCACAGCGACCCATGTTCAAATCCAATCAGGGCCCTTCGCTGTATTTCATCCCCTTTCTCTCCCCTTTCCTCTCCAGTATATCACTCTCTGCTCTCATCTTAATGACAAAAAAGAAAAAGAAAAAAAGGCAGTTCAAAGATGTGTGCAGGCCGTCAGGAGTAGGTGGGTAAGAAGAAGAGGCTCAATGGGAATGGGCCATTAGCCCAACCCACTTTACACCCCGGCCTGATTTAGCACGGCAGCGGTGTGGTTCCATTGCAAGATTACCTCCTGTTGATGTATTCTTCTTAGAATTTCTCCTATCTGTTGTACTCTGATAAGTGGGTCACTATCACTGCATCACGGTCCAACGCGACCTCATACACTGCATCATGGTCCAATGTGTCCTCACACTGTTGTCCTGTCATGTGTTGGATGCTGCTTTTTGATCAGGCTCTTCCTATAACTCTTTGTGTTCACCCCAAACCCCTCGTAAGTCATGTTATAACTGGTGTTGGAGTTACTGCTACTGCTTTCATTTGGTTGCCTGCTCTAATTGCATCACTAAGCATCGCTAAGCATTTAAATTGCTCCGTAATCATGCCTGCCCACATTCTCGATATATATGCATATAACTGGTGTTGGTGTGTTGTCTCAATGGCTATTTTGCTGCTCAATGTTTCCTTTTTATCGGCTATTTCCGGTCATAGATAACTCCTCAAATCTGATAAATATATAATTTAGCTAATTTCTAATATTAATTTATTCAACTAATTATTCACATCCAGGTATTCTACTATTACTACATATTAATTTATATGACAATTACTTGTACTAATACCCACTTGTGTATTCTGCAATTGTTCCAATTTCATCATATTCTACTAATTGCCCATATTAATTGTTTTCTGATATGTGGTGTTATATTAATCATTTCGGGTAAGTGGTGTTACTTCATCATATTCGGTACGTAGCGTCTTCTCCATTCTATTCTTATAAGTGGTTCATATTCTTGTATTCATAGGCTATCTGCTTCATTTTAATTGCTTGTTATTTCTCACTCGCTTGCTAACTGGCGTCATGTAGATCGTATGGTGTTAATGGACCTGAGTGTGTCAGATCCATTGCATTGTTAATTCTCAGGTCACTGCTGACCTCTTTTGCTTAAATCCATTCTCTGCTGAATTTCAGGTCTTCTATGTCTTATGAGTGATGTATGATTCATTAAAAGTGTAAGGGAGTCTAACTCTTTAGCCAAATCTATATAAATGCATGCCTGTTATTTAAGTACACTAGCCACGAGACTCTGTCAAGACTGTATCATCAGATCATCTGTTTTCAAAGAAAAATGATCTTTACTTCATCTGACTTCCTCACATCTCTCATGATTGAAATGATTCTCTAGCGAAAGTCAGGAAGACTATATACACTCAGGCCTGCAGTTTATTTTTCATACATCTGCCATTCAGTCCTCACACATGCTAACTCATAATTTCCTTGCTGTTATTGTTCCAGACTGTCAATTATGATATCAGCTGTTCTGATCAGCTGGTCTCTTCTCTCCAGTAGCATAGCGACAGAATTACATTGTTAGTCTATCATCTTGCTACCGTCTCTTTTTAAATACGATTGTCTACCTTCAGTACGTTCATGTTGCTGTTACGCGCCCCTCCACCTCCCCATCTCTGTCCAGTCTTTGTAGATTTATCAGCTTTATCAACTCATCATTCTATCAGCCTCATCAGCCACCACCACCACCAGTGTCTGGGGATTTATCTTTCTGCTGCTCAGGGCAAACGCCCCTCTATTACAAATCTCCAAGCACCCAAGACTTTGTCAAGACTTTATAATCACACATCATCTGTTTGTGATTAACAATTATCTTTTCTTCAACTGATTTTCTCTCCTGATTGAAATTTAATTGGTAAGCTTAATAACAGAGCATGGAAGGTCAAGCAAGCAAACATGAACACGACCAGTCCGACATACAGCCATTACCACCATGTCTGTATGTCCATTGCACAGTAATAATGCATGACTAAAGCTGGTGTAGAGGGGAGGAGTTTTGGAAGTTGCTGAGCAGTTTTAATGGGCATTTACAGTACCAATGAAAGTTAGGATGATACAAAAACGTTCGAGAAAAGTGTCAATCAAGATCTGTTCAACCACACGGGCCACATGATTGACACGGGGATCTCGGACCCACGTCAGTGGAGGCGCTGCCTCCCAGGAGAGAGAGAGGGAGAGGGAGAGAAAGAGAGAGAGAGCACGCGCGCGCGAGCGAGCGAGAGAGCAAGGGCTGGAGAGCAGTGCTTCTCCCACAGAGGTAAGACCGGAGGAGTGACTTTACCAGAGACACAGAGGAAAGGTAAACCCAACTCACTTTATGTACTTAAATATGTATGCCTGATTACAAATTGAGTCACATTAGTTTACATCATTTAATTGTAGATCATTAATGAATATGGTTACACAAGTCTTTCAAGGTTCAAAATGTGTTGTTATATAGGATTGTTTATGACCTGTATACGTGTTTTCTAACTTTAAAACGTTATTGTACATGGATTTGTAAATAATCGCGAGTAAACTAACTTTGACACCAGGATATCAAGCTAAATCCTTCTAATCTGTGTAATTAGGCTTACATTTTATTTGTGATTTGCATTCATGATATATGTCATTTCGCTTTGGGGGCGTTAGCCGTTCAGTCCTGCCTGTCGAACCTTAGAAACCTGGACTTGGTGTCTTTAAACCGGTTTTACGCCGTTAACAGTCAAATATTCACCTGTGGTATATTGAAGTATATTCTGTCTATCACCAGCTATGTCTAAAACGTGTTCAAGGCAACTGATTGTCATCTCTCTGCCGTCCAGATTTTAGGATGCGCCACTCGTGCGAAAAACCCTGCCACTGTCTCCAGCGCGCACATGAACAACCGAGAGTAAACGGCACTACCCGAAACCATCGGTAACCTTATCGTGGACACGTTCAACTTTCAGATCCTCATTTTAAATCTCCGTCAACCGAGGGATTCAAAGGAGGAGGGGAAGGATATCTTGTGTGAAGACCACCAGACTGAATGCGATGTTCACGTCTACTCCAGAAAGAAAAAGTGAAGGAGTGAACGCAAGTGGAGATAAACAAAGTGCCAAATGTTTTTAAAGAACTGGATATGGAAATTCAACCCTGACAAAAAAACAATAGTGGACCATTAATTTAGTGAGCTTGAAGCGTTTTCAAATCAAGAAAATCAAACACACGTTTTACCGCGGACGAATATTCTCCGGAGAAAATCCATCTGACAGGACTATTGTTTAAGTATATATGTGCAGTAAATGGGTAAGTTAGATTGCATGGAACAGTTTGCGTAATTATTACATGTTCTCTTTTTGTACCAGCCACTAACAGTGAAACTACTGATCCTTAATTCATTTGTGGACCTGCTTTTACCTTCTCAGTGACTTGCTGTTGGTCCCTGGACGTCAGCTTGGAAACTGTTACTCTAAAGACTTTTCTCTTCTCTGCAAGTGGTCAGAAGCTAGGCTCCTCTCTTTTGATGTAATGGAGGGTAATCACACTTTAACTTAACCTTTTTGTTTGTTGAACTGTGCATCACTAACTTTTTAGGCTTAATAATAAATGATTAATGCATCCTGTGAGAGAATATGTCCAAAAAGGAAGACAAAGACACTAAAGACTCTCTAAAAAATAATTTATAACTTATTTAAAATCGGTGGATATTTGTTTTACAATGCTCAGAGATGCTTAGTTCCTTCTCAAACATGGAGAATGTGTCCATCCCTGGCGTTGCACCGCCAGTCTGCAACGATTCTGTGGACTTCTACTCCCTCACGTCAGAGAACGGCACTGACCTGAACTGCACTCCTCCGTCTGAGTTTTACTTCTATGCAGACCTGTACATCATTTTACCGGTCATCTATTCTGTAATCTGCGCAGTTGGACTGACAGGCAACACGGCTGTCATCTATGTGATCCTCAAAGCCCCCAAGATGAAAACAGTAACCAATATGTTCATCCTGAACTTGGCCGTCGCCGATGATTTGTTCACTTTGGTGCTACCGATCAACATAGCCGAACACTTGCTGCACTACTGGCCTTTTGGTGAGGTTTTGTGCAAAGTCATCCTTAGCATAGACCATTACAACATCTTCTCCAGTATCTATTTCCTGACAGTTATGAGCATTGACCGCTACCTGGTCGTGTTGGCCACGGTGAGGTCCAAGCGCATGCCTTACCGCACCTACCGAGCAGCCAAAATCATCTCATTATGTGTCTGGATACTTGTTATCCTCATCGTCATGCCTTTCACTGTTTTTGCTGGCGTGTACATGAACCCAAATGATGGGAGGAAGAGCTGTGTGCTGAGCTTCCCAAGCCCAGAGAGTTTGTGGTTCAAAGCGAGCCGGATCTACACGCTCATCCTGGGCTTTGCCATTCCTGTCTCAACCATCTGTATCTTATATACCATGATGCTCTACAAGCTGAGGAACATGCGGCTCAACAGCAATGCCAAGGCGCTGGACAAGGCCAAGAAGAAAGTCACCATCATGGTGTTTATCGTCTTGGCCGTCTGTTTATTCTGCTGGACGCCGTTCCACCTCAGCACCATTGTGGCTCTGACAACGGACCTGAGGACCACACCGCTCCTGATCGGGATCTCCTATTTCATAACCAGCCTGAGCTACGCCAACTCCTGCCTCAACCCATTCCTCTACGCCTTCCTGGACGACAGCTTCAGGAAAGCCTTCAAGAAAATGTTGGAATGTAGACCGGCCTGAACGTACGATAGTACGACACATGAAACCAGTCCCAGAGGTCTAGAGAGACTTACTGAGGGAGGACAGACTGTGGTGGTAAAATTGGATGGTTAAGATTTAGGTTCCAATCTGAATTGTTAATGTATCTGATAAAGATTTGATTTGTTTGGTTTGTTAAAGCTGCACTGCAACTTTACACATTGTTTGCACATGCTAGCAATAGGTAGCTATCTTTCATTCATCTGTAATATATTGAAAAAAACGTGTAGAAAAATACCTGTAAATTGCACAAATCTCATCTATAAATGATTTATATTACAGTAAACCAAAGGGATAAGAGAGAAAAAAAACATTTGAGTTAATCTTCGTCAACACAGAAGGCTGTTAAAATTCATCACATCCTGTGGGCAAATATCCCATTCCTCTGATGGACAGGATGCTTTTCTTTGTCACAGCTGGACTGTTCTATATTGTTAGAGAATATGCCTAGTGCAGCCTCTTGGCTCCGAGAGCTCAAAAAAAAAAGAAACAACAGCTTGTTGTACAGTAACTATCAGCAGAATTTCCCATCATTGTGTCTGAAGAACTGGCCATTAAATCGGATTGTTTTCCAGTTTGCAGACTGCAATTAAAATGTCAGACCTTTTCCACAACAGTAAAAAAAAAAAAGACGTGATGGGTCACTGCAAACAGTCGTAACCTTGGTCGAAACTGAAGGCCGAGGAGTGCCTCTGAGCGGTGGAACATTTGCTGTGCGGAGAAAGTACAGTTCAACACACCATCATTGATTTGCATGCTGTCAATGAATTAACCTTATGAGAATGGTCAGAGTTGGAGGATGCATGCATGAGGATTACAGGTGTTTATCATGACGCAAACAGGAGGGGAAAATAGTCCCTTTTAAAAATCAAAACAAGCGGGATGACTTGATAAAAGCCAACACTTGATCTGCCTTTAAATGATTCTATATTATAAACAAAATCATCTCAAAGAAACCAAATGATACACTTTGTGGATTACTTTTAGAGTTCTGTTTTTTTGGGTCAGGCTACAGATTTTCATTTGCAAAGTATGACCTGAACAATTAAAAGGTTCACACATTGATGGACTCTTTGAATGATGGGCATTGTTTGGATGAAAAAGTTTTTCCAGAATGTATATGTACCACTTAAGGGATGAAAAGGGAACCTGACAACAGTACTGTATGCGTGATATCCGTCATGGGACAGGAGGGCTATGTAAAATGAAATCTGTGGTTCTCTTCACGTTGTCATTTTTCGTGACCTTTGGTCGCCCCCTGTTGTCAACATGGCGAGGTTACCTGAAAATGCAGCCAGAGCCATTTATGGAGGAGTGTGCATAGACGCTGCTGAGGGGAGTTACACAGTTTCACACTGCTCATGACAGTGTCCGCATAAATATCATAATTTTTCCCTTCACTTCATGGACATTTGTGAATAGTAACTTTTGGTATCTGACTTAAACCCCATGCTGAAGTTAATCCTCAGTTGTATATTTTTTAGGAATATATGCAATCCAATGAGATTCACAGTCATACCGTGCAAACTTAGCAACTATATCCATTTAGCGTTCTTAAATTACAATTCAGAGTTTGTCTTGCACTGTTAAAATCATGAAAACAGAGAGGAATAGAAACAAGTACGGCTTATTTTAGATTTCACTGTGTTAAAATATTAATCAAAGGAGATACATGAAGGTAAAATGGAAAAGAAAACAACTTGTTTTTGAGATTGGCAACTGTTTGTCATCATGCTATGTAATGTGTTTTGAGCCTTCTACAGGTTTTAAAAAGTTGCACACAAAAGAATGTCAGGCTCAAATTTACAGGAGGCTTACAAAAGTAAACCGAGAGGTAAAAACGGTTCTGGACAAGATTTAGAGCCCTAAATATAAACAAATTCCTTTAATGACAATTCAAAGCACTTAATATGAATGATACCAACATCTAATCGGCAGTAACAAACACAGTACATCGTGGTTACCTGCTAGCCATGTCAACTCTTGATTTCAACTTTACTTTTACCATCATTTTCTTAAAATCACAATAAAAGAGTTTTAACATTTATGTTTTGTTTGTTCCAACACTTCACTGATTGTATGTGATAATGTTTTTAAGGCTGTGCCATTCCATCTAAGATAAATACTCAGATATGTGTGAATGTGAGAAAAAAGCCTATCAATTTGGTTTCTTTGGTAATTTTAGATCTCTACTAGATTAAAAAGAAGCGTTCTGAAGCTTCAGCATACAGTGTTGCATGACTTAACAGTGCAGAATATTACAGTGTGACAACAGAGAGTTTACTTCTTCAAATGTTTTTGAATTTTACCGCTAAGCTCTATTTATGTTGTAAATCATGACACACAATGCCCATGTAACTCTTTTCCTCCTCTGGTGGCTATAAAATGAGCAAACGGCACTTCCAGCAGCTTAACAAGTGCGTGATAAAAATCAGCTTCGTCTGTATGGCTCTGACTGCAACGACAGAAACATTTCTATGTCCTGTTGTAAATAGGACACTCTTTTTTGCCATTTAACTGTACAGTCATAGCAGTGTGTAGTCAAACATTCTTCATGATAAACATTGTGTGACACAATTGAAAAACAATATGAAATTAAAATGTATTCGGAATCATTGTCTTTTATGCAGCATGTAATTTAAAAGTATGACATTGCCTTTTATTTGTTTGTGTATCTTACAAATCTTTCCTGTCATTCTGGTAATGAATAAATAAATAAACATAGAATATAATGTTTACATGTATTTGGTGGAGGAACCTAGTGTGTAATGTTACACCAGCCATACATTGCGAGCATACAAATCACTAGAATCTAGTGACTTGTATGCCTTGCACCTATCTTATCTGTGATCATGTACAGCAGGTCAAACAGAAATAGAAACCCTTTTTATTGTCATATACATATACACATACACGAAATTTGACCTCAGCATTTGACCCATCCCTGTATATAGGGAGCAGTGGGCTGCCAATGACAGGCGCCCGGCTCAGTGTCTTGCTCAGGGACACTTCGACACGTGGCATGTCCCAGCCGAGGATCGAACCCCCTGTGGTTACCAGACAACCCTCTTAAGCCAGTGAGCCACGGTAGCCAAATAGCATGGTATAGACTCTGAGTTTTGAGTTTATAGTTGTATAATTGGCCACTATGAATACAAGCATTTAATAGCATTAAGTTACCACGTACAACCACGGAGGTATTCAGCTGAAATTTACCAGTTAACAGTCACTCGTTAAACTAACACATTCAGACATTTTGAAGGAATTTGTAATTCGTGTTTTGAGCTTGCTAACTTATCTGGATGGAGAGGGAAAAACGCCTCTTCTGTTACCAACATGATCAAGCATATTTTGGATGACATCATCTGTAAAAGGATGAGTAAGTTTTGTTTCCCACTGGTACTTATGTATTTCTTTACATTTTAGAGTCAAAGTCGCTTTTTTTGACAGGCACAATAAATGGGCAGACATTTGTTTTCTTGATATCTTTGCTCACACATTTGTACAGTGCTGATGTAGATTAAAAAGAGGAAAAATACAGATGAAGACATATAATTGTTATTGTCATTAGTGGTTTGGGTCAGGGTCACTAGTTACATGGGGCAACTACACCAGCTACTGCATCAGCTGACGAGCAGTAGGATGGATAAGTGGTTCGAGCTTCATGACAGCGAAAGGTCACAGATTCTATCTCAACAACAGCCTGTTGTGTCCGTGATGTACTGCCGAGCCTTTACTGTACTGCTGACACTGAGCAGTTTACAGTAAGATGGTGGTATAATATTAAGTGTAACGTGTAAAGATTCTATGAGTATAGGCATAGTTCTGCTCTCAATTTAAAACAGCATGTCTTTAGTTGGAGAAGGTGGAGCCAAAGGTGCCACATTTTAGAGAGCTACACCTATAGCCATGGTCACGGAATATGGATTTATTTAACACACATTCTATTTTGTATCAGAATATATGTCACAGAAAATGTAACAGCAAATGAAAACGGTACTGTACACATCCAGAAGGCTAACTTAGCCCATTTGTTATCATTTGTATTGTTTCTAGTTTCATCTGGTATAAAATAACTTACTGACTTTCAAAAAGAAACATTGTGTTTTTCGGGGGTTGGGTGAGTGGTGTAAATGTCCTTCTCATTCAGGTCAGCCAGGTCTTTCTTTGCCTCAACCAACAGTAAAAGTACTTCACTAAATGTTACTAAAAGTCACTGTGAGGAACTTTTAACTGGTTAGGAATCAGTCTCAACTTATTACCGATGCCTCTATATGACCTTCATAAGTAAACGAGACCTTCAGCTAGAAGATTGGCTATTTCTATATACTTATTCTTAATGCCTCTCATCGGTGCCACCGTGTCAGATTCTGCACAAAACCAGATGAAATCCTGCATGTTCATCACCAGAAACTCATCAGCTCAGACTCCAGCGGGGCCTCCAGCAACCAGCCCGCCACAGACGGACACAGCTCCGCGCCCAGCTGCAGCATCTCCTCCTCCTGCTAGGAGCCTCTCTGCTCTGTCGGTTCCCGCTGGTTGCAATCACTCCATGATGCTGGAGACCTGCGCCATATTGCTTGGCCCACTGGAGGCAAGGGAGGCACGGGAGAACCAGAACCAGGACTGAGCGGACTGTCAGACCCCTGCTGCAGTAAACAGGTTAAGAGGTTTGTCAAAAGGACTCTTGCGCTCATAAACACTACCTATTTGCCACACAGGGCCCGCCAAAATCGACACAAAATTGAAAAAGCATGTGGTAGCCTGATTTATGTTATGGTCATACTGTACCCTGCAGTATTAGCATAGGAACCCGAAAAATAATGCTGGTTTCCATCTGGTTATTCCATTATCTCACATCTTGTTGTCACAAACACACACAATAATGATGGCAGAGTTTCTACCAGGTTTTTATTTCCTGGAATTGTCTTTAGCACCGTAACATTGTTATATTTAGCAGCTTCAGTCTCTTTTTTTTTAAGGAGACAGGGTTGCCTCCATGTTGAATTCCAATCTGTTACATTCAAATACCAGTTTCCGTGTTGTAGGCTACTGTTTGAGGAGCAGAAATGCAAGGCTGGGCTTTCTGTCACAGCTGCTGTGTTCGCTCACTGAAGTGTTGCAGTCTGGACGGCTCACATGTGCTATCTGGTGGTTGTTGGTGCGCAGTGCTTGGACTGAGGGCAGTCTGGAAGCTACAGTAACTTACTATCATCTCTCGATGTACAAGTGGTATTACAAGACAGGACGGAAAGGGGCTAGCTGGTTAGCACACTCATTTCAGAAACACATAGATGTCTTCGACATAACGTCAACTCTGTACCCTCTTTAAAAAAAGTCGATAATAAATGTCTTTAACCTAAATTCAACTAATTAAAAATGCCTTGGGCATATGACACCATGTCATGAGCAGTACAATTTGTATTAATTTGTTCACATTAGTTAAAATGGACTAAAGAGTTATACTGTGTACAGTGGAGCAGTATATGTTCAGTATGACAGTATCAGTACTGAGAGGAAAACACTGCCAGAAAAAATTCCTTTCTTTCCTTCTGTCTAACTCATTTATTGAGTCAAATAGTTTACTTATTCACTTCACATTATTTTACTGTCTTCTTGTCTGTCTCATTATCTACTCCACCTTCTTTGTTTACATATCTCACTGTCTCACTTTCTGTGAGTGTAGTGTAAACAGTAACACTCAACTCTTTTCCACTTCAATGTGGTGTGTGTGTATTTGTCTTAAACAGATACAGATGAGCGCCTCCATGCGGTCAATTTGACAAGGAGATATGCTCATTTCAGTGTTTGTGATAAGCCATTATTAGCACTAGAGGGCAGTGTTGGTCCATGTAGATTAGCCTATTTGTGTGTGTGTGTCTGTGTGTGACATAATTAAATTCACTTTCACCTAAATGATTTAAGAAAGTTGTAGACAATTGATAAATCTAGCGCAACATTTAGGTTCAGCGACTCCACACGAGTGTTTCAATGATAACACGTGTTCCATCCTTTAGAACATCCAGACGTAGTTAAGTGGAGAACAACAACTGCAGATGGCAGTGTGTAGCTGTAAATGAGATGTGTCCCTGAGTTCATGTGGAAGTGCTCTTTCTCACTTTCTCAGGAACACTATTCATATAAAAACTGCAACTGTAAATCACATGTTTGGGGGAAACATGTCACCCTAAACATTTGCTGCCATTTTTCAAAAGGTTACTACCCAGAATCCTTCCAGGTATGCTTAAAGCCAAGGAAAGATGGAGGCAAAGGTTAAATGGTAAGAATAAATGTCCCAATACATAGTATGTCAAATGCATCTGATCGCAGTTTGCAGTGTGAAAGTCAACATTATTTTCAGGCTATTCTGACCCACAATCCTCTGCACAGCTACAGTTGCGTCACATCAACTTAGCCACCGAAAGAGTACAGACAGATGGCTGCCTGATGACAACTCATTGAGAGTCTGTGACAGATATTGGCATTAAAAAAAAAATACCGTCTGCACAACAGACGATGCAAATAAATGATAAATGAGTACACAGACGGACCGGCAGACACACACACACACACACACACATGTGTTATAACCTCATAAATGTTTAACTAAAGGTAACATTAACACATGTCACATATTCTCACTTCACAACATACACACAGACGGGCACACTGATATCTACCCTGTCAATCTCTACCTTCTCTGAGCTATTGGGAATCAGTACAGCATTGATTGAGCTGTTCTTTTCCTTTCTGTTTGAACACCCTCTTGCATATAGACACACGATAATTACAGACAGTGCTGCCAGACATTGTCTTTAAAAGCACTTATGTCAAATTATCACAAAGCATCTCTTGCCTGCAAAGATTTGTTTTTCCTTTTCGAAAGAACCCATCATTAAACAAGTGAAATGTCATAACAGAGTCTATACTTGCTACTCACTTGCAACTGCTGCAGCTGATGTTTGCATCTCATAAGCTCGCCTGCCAACAGTTGATCATCTTACTTTAGGAGGTCTGTTTGGAAAGAATAACTGTATTTGTGCCACAAACATAAACTTCAAGTGGAAGTCAATGTTTTATTGTCTTCCATTTCCGTTTACCTAAGTTTTGTCTCTTTTCTGGCTTCTAGTATGGCTACACTGAGGAAGGTGGTTGTAAATTTATGAATGCAGCCTTTAGGTGCATACTGCAGATCATCAACGTGCCTGTCTACAGAGAGAGAATTTATAGTTGGCTTGGTGGTGCGGTTCTCAATCGGTAACAGCTTTTACGATGTTCCTCTACTTTGATAATTTAACAGTCATACCATTTAACATTCTCATCACCATTGATCATTATTTTCTTTATAATGATCAATTATACTCAGAGTACATTTTAAATTAGTTGCTTTTGTCTGAGTAGATTTTTACACAAGTAATCTTACTCTTACTTCCGTACAATTTCCAATGTTCTTTCCCAACCCTGATTGTAACCCCACTTTACTCGTCGTCTTGAATCCACAAATATTTCTTCATTAAATTGTCTTGGATCCTATTAATCTTGGGCGACCTGATCACAAGTGGACCGCTCTAAGTCCGTCAGGTCACACCTGGCATTACAATGCATCACCACATACGTCTCGAGTGACCACTGATCAGATCTCACATCCCTGCTCTATATTCAAATAAACACTTCCTGTGCTTAGTCTGTCAGAAACTACAAGAAGAAGAAATCCAAATTGCCCAAGATGTTTGACTCACGAGTAAAATAACTCAATGGGCTTTTCTGCTTAGGTAGTTGCTATCAGTGAATTTAAGCAGGAATGTAGTGTAGCTTTTATTCTGAAAGGTAAGGCTGAAAGAGTGAAGCTGTGATGTGCTGCAAATGACAATGTGGGAGCAATAACAAGTTATCTGTTTTGGTTCAGACCATGGAGCCTACGTGTTATTATTT